GTGCCGGAATATACACAGTAGAAAGCCATATACATTGCTAGAAAGACAACCTTGGTGCAACATCCACCATTAGCAGAATATAAGGGACAGCTTTATGCTTTGCCAGGACTTTTAGACTAGCTAAGGGCCCTTAGGGTTTATTTCCCAAAGTATCCTTCTACAGTAAACTTACTCTTTCTGTTCAAAACTTTTATCTGACTCTTGTCTGAATTTTGTCCCTCATTCTGAAATCTTTCTTCCAAGCAGGACAAGAACCAAGACGTGACAAGGCTTGAAACTCTTAGCCTCCCCCAGTAACACATGGGTGGCATTTAACAGCAATAGCAATAAACGTGGGTCTCTATGCATTTGCGTGTTCTAGATATTTTATATAGCTAGGATAATATATATGTTTTTTGTTTTTGTCTTATTTAGCTCAGTGCAATGTTTTCAAGGTTCAGCCATACGGTGATATCAGAATTTCATTTCTCTTTATGTCTGTAATATTCCATTGTATATGTAGATTGTATTTTTTAAATAGACACATGGGTTGTTTCCACTATTGTGAATAATATTTTAATAAACACGATCTGTTTGAGGTGGGAAAGAAGGGGGAAAAGAGCAGTAATCCACTTTTCAATGCACCCTGCCTGAGGGCAAGACTATTTACATCCCTAGTGAATGGTATGGGGGCATCCAGTGGAGGATTAATCCATGTGGAGACTCTGGATTTAGATTTTGGGATTGCACAGTCATCACTAATTTTCTGAAAACAAGGTGCTCAGAATTTAAGCTCTAATACAATTCTCTCCTCTGATCTTGGTTTTTATTATTTACAATCCTTGCTTAACAAGGGCTAATATTAGTCTTCCATGTGAAATTAGCTATCACCTCACTTAGATAGACATTTGTTTGAGATGAAACTTTAATCTCCAGGACATTCTTTCTGATAGCTAGGTACCATCTGATTTCGTCACTATACTTTGCTAAAGCACCCATATCTTCAGCGATCACTTCACGAGGGCAAGTAATGAGCAGGGTCACATGGTATGAGATATTCACTTATACAGGTTGAAAACTTAAGAAACTGAATACTGTTTAAGAAATCAATTAGGGTTAGACACAAGGTAAATATTTCAATCATGCTCATCCACTAAGGCACAGTTTTATTGTTGTTTTAATTGGGCAGTCATATTCAATGTAGGATGCTATTTCATAGTTGTTTTGATTTGCATCTCCTGCACAGCTAATGACAATGATTATTTTTTTGTGTGCTTCTTGGCCATTTGAATGTCATTTTGGTGAACTATCTGTTCATGTATTTGGCCTACTTTTTGACTAAATTATTATTATATTTTCCTTATTGAGGACTTGTAGGATACTATCTATGGATATTAGAATCCATTGCTGTCCATTGCTGTTATATCATTGCTAAAGATATTTTTCCAGTCTATGGATCTTCTTTTTACTCTTCGGTGAAGTATTTTGACACACATAAGTATCTTATTTTTAGTAGGTACAGTCACCTATTTTTTCTTCTGTGAATGTTTCCTTTGTTATATATCTTATTATTTGAGTACATTGCAATATGGTATTATTTTCCCACTGAGGATATTTATAGCTCTGGAATTTACATTCAGGTCTTTGATGCATCTTTTGTTCATTTATAAAAATAAATCATTTTATTGGGGACTCTTACAGCTCTTATCACAATCCATCCATCCATCCATTGTGTCAGCACCTTTCCACATATGGTGCCATCATCATTTTCAAAACATTTTCTTTCTACTTGAGCACTTGGTATTAGTTCATTTCCCCCACTCCCACACCCTCCCTCTCTCATGAACCCTTGATAATTTAGAAATTATTATTATTTTCATGTCTTACACTAACCACTGTCTTC